CCCCTGATTTAATACACTCAGTTATTAGTTATTACTGTTTAAGAATTCAGTTTGTACAAGATGACAATATAGTTTTGGTGATTTTAAATAATTACTCAACGGTTAAGTTGATTTCCGACAGCAGGTAATTACTAATTAACAACACCCGGACTGTAAAAATTAATCATTTGTCGTTATTAATGAGCCCAGAAAAACAAGATGATTTTGATGAAAGTACAAGTCAAATTTTACAAAAAAAAACTACAACTTTGTGTACTATTACGTGTTTTGCTTACTGAATTCAATATTACCAACAGCCGCTATACTTTGATTATAATATATGTCTTTAAAAAGTATTTGACCTAACACAAACAAAAACTAATTGCGCTTTTTTTTTGGTACAAATATTATTGTATATGTTTAGCTTAAATAAATCAAAGTGCGCATTTTCCGTTTTCGTCGTCATCCTGAAAATTGTAATTTATGACTAGTATATAATATATATGTATTTTTTTACCGAAACCGTCCAATCAAGATACTTTGATATTCGCATCATGTTTGTGCTTTGGGGAAAAAAAAGTATTAACCACGAAAAATCTAAATAAATATTTTTTGCAAACCTAATAAAACAGTCAACCTCGGGCAAAATAATAAATATTATGAATCGTTGTATGTTTTTTTTTAATCTTTTGTCAATGATTTAATCGCGACAATCAACCGGGTGATGTATTATTCTGAATAAAAAGCGACTCTTGCGGCGCTGAATTATAAAAACTGCGAAATTGGCCGTTGTTTGTTGAATTCGAAATTATCAAATATGAGAGAGGCGAAAAAAGGAGTGTTTTTTTTAAAATGTTTTTCTCGTGACAATGAATGATATTCAAACTTCATTTATACAATTGTCCAATACTAAATAACACTGTAGACAAGGTCGGGAATAAATATGAATAATTTTCAGTGAAACGTTTGAACCCAAAAACTTGATGTAAGTACTATGGCTTCTTTTTTTGTTTTTACATATTTTAATACTTAAATTTCCAGTTATAAATTGTACTTTTTCATACACTCTATTTGTAGAGTATTTTTAAAAAAATGTTTTAGCTGCGATGCCAATTTGCGGAGGTATTGGTTGTATAACAATGTGTTTTTATTATTATTATTTATATTCTTTTTTTTTTATATACAATTGGACCCACTACAACTTTTTAACCGACCGACTGATTTCTCTTTATGTTATATATATATATATATATATATGTAGCTGGTGTATAAATCAGACAATTCGTTCCCCGAGGGCCCTTGAAATACGGACGAAAATTGAAAACCTTCTCTTCATAATCGAAAAGTGCTCTGAAAATGACAAGTTTTAATTTTCCCCGAAAATAATCCTAACACTACCGAAATTCGTTCAGGGTCTTTCTTTAGCTATATAAATGTACTTTACAATGAAGTGGGTAACACCCGTCACACCACTTTTTTGAGTATGTAAAGCATGTCTTGGGCTGTGAACTCTTCTGGGAAACTGAGCAGTTACAGCGCATACTTAACTTTGAATTTTAACTTGAACAATATAGTTTATTTTTAAATAGTGAAATTTCGCATTTTTCAAAAGCTTTCATTGAAAGTGTCTGTGTAAAAATGTATACAAACAATTAAGTTTGTTCATAGATACCTATTTCCAAAACTAATTACCAACATTTTTTTAAACATTTTGGGAAATCAGAAAAAAATTGTTTAAAATAATCATTGGCAACATGTATTTGTTTTTAAATTCTCTATATTTTAAGTTATAATTATGTATATATATATATGTATAATATTATGTAGATAATAAGTTTTGATTCAACAAACGTTTAATATTTTATGTTTACTATTGCTGAAGAAAACTTTTGGAAACTTATACATTAATATTATCAGTTTATGAGAAATAAATTACCGTCAAATCCGCTAGAAGAACGTTTTGGAAATACGGCTACATATTTTATAAAGAATATTTTTATCAGAGTAACAATGCGTTTTGGAAAACTATGGTTTGTGTGGTATCACAAGACTTTGAAATAATAATATCAATATTAACTTTGTTGGAACATAATTGGTTTTGGTAATAGGAGCTACTCATTTTTGGTATGAAAAAAGTGGCCGTATGCGGTTGTAAAAAGCAAAAATAAAGACCAAATTGACTCCTTTTTCCTATGCGTTAATATATTATGAGTCTTACGGTAAACTTTTTAATAAATAATTGGGTTTGGTGCCTTATCTAAACGTTCAAGCCCTAAAGTCCTGATAAACTTTTTCCCTAAACCAACTTTTTTTAAAAATATTTATAAATCTTATTTTCTTGTACATATACCGATTAAATTATTTATACTTAATAATTTTATCACTTTCATTTTTCACAATAATTCCTCCGTCCATTAAGTAAAATATTTTGAAGTAAGCGAAAATACGAGCTGCAGTGTAGCCACAATGACGAAATTGCACATTTCTCTGGTACACGTTTTTAATTCGTTTCGCTACTTTAACCATGTGATACAAGACATGTGACTTGTCGGTTATAATATATTATCACATCATCGTATGGAATTTGAATTTTACCGGTATTGATCTGTATAGGCGATAATGGTTGCGATACTGCGCAGTGTGTAACGACATACGGAAAAAAAAAAATGTATTTTATTTTCATTTTAAGCGGTCAGGACGTTATAATATTATTATCATCAAATCCTTTTGGTGGTATAAAAAAAAAAAAAAATCAACTTCTCTGCTAAATCTCTGCGCGTGTATACGAATATATTACAACATGTAATGTATCTCATGTAGTTTGCGCGAACTTAAAACGCATACGGTCACACTGGAATAACAGTATTTCAATGCGACATCGTCATGGTCGATAGAACTTATATTGAATAACGCCGAACGCCGTGGGAAGAGACGTTGCTGCCGTCTTATGATACAAATCGGCTGTGCTTTCAAAACTCTGACGTGACCCCCTCTCCTCCCATTCCCCTCCCCTACACTTTATGGTCGACGCTGAGGTAAATCACGTACTTGGATCCGACTTGGAACTGCGACGTTTGACTTATTACGGTCCAATTGCCTTCCCTCCCCCCCCCCCCAACAGCCCACAAATAGTTTTCGTATCTAATTTTGACAGTAAGACATAGAATTTTTTCCGAGTTTCTTTGCCGGAGCTCGACTGTCAATTACAAAAAAAAAAAAAAAAACGTTTCCATGATGTATTTCGCGCAATGTCGGAATCGTCAAAACCGGCAAAGTATAAAATTGAGTTTTTTTTCCGCTCTCTTTTCCGCAGTTCCACACACACACACACACAATACTATATATAACATAGCAGCAGCTACACACAACGAATACTTACATATAATATATATATTCTGTGATTTTAGGTCAGACGACGTGGCAGATTATTTTTCTTCCCCTTTGCCGCCAGCTAACATTGTAATATTATGCCACCGTATATATATATATATATATTTTTTTTTATTCCCGCAGTTTAATACCGTCGACTTTCCGCCTTCTTAACGGCTTGTACATATTGTATTTATACATTACAAACATTATCATATTCAACCGTGGTGACGCACGTTACCAGTTCAAATATATAATATTACTCTATCGTCGATCGACTCTACTAAAGGGTCTCTACACAATAAAAAAAAAAAAAAAAAAATGAAACGGTGTCGCAAAGGGATATAACAGAGCGATATTTACATATTTTTTTATTATTCGTTCGCTCTCTCTCTTGAGAGAGAGAGAGAGAGAGAATTCGTATTTCTTATTCACGGCGCGAATGCAATACAAATGTCGCGAAATAATATGAATATTTTTCACTTGACCGTTGCGAAAGAAAAAAACCGACTACCTTAATGCAAACATAAAAATCCGTGTAAATAATATGTTTTTTCGAAATTCAAATGGTTCGAGAAAAAAAAATATAACCATTGATATTTCTTATCACTTATCGCACACCTCTAATCTCTTATCTCTCAAAGTAAAAGCGTAACGCGAGAATGGTGACATGAAATTTCATATATCCACCCCAATAAAATATCCATGTTAATAAAATATAATTTATTCTTACAAGTAATATATATATATAGAGAGAGAGAGAGAGATACAATCTTTGTTAATCAAATATTGGCGAGCTACCCAATCCGTGGGTTGCCACAAGCACACAGTCTGTTTCTCAGTATATAGTTTTTTTAGTTGATAATAAAATAGTTTGAAAATTTACAAGTACTTTTTCGACCAGAGTAGGGAAAAATAACACAATAAATTGTGGATAATTTTTTTCTTCGAATAATATTGTTTGTAACTCGTTAAATAACAAATAGTTGGCTTATTCTTTATATTTCATAAAACAAAAAATACCTTATCAGCTCCGCATTGAAGCTTAAACATCCCCGGATAATTTCTTATGAATTTGATATTATATTCATTCTTAAAAAAAAAATAATCATAATTTTTATTTTTAAGGAAAACGTCGTCTAAATTTAAAATTAAATACAATTTTCAAATAATAGCCAACTCTCTACTCGGCTTCTATTTTCTAAATTCCGTAAAAAACTTGACTCGCACTGTTTAAAAAACAATACACTGCACTGAAGTATTCTTTACTCAATGACACATTCTCTCTTTGCCATTCCACCACCTTTGTTAAAATTTTACATAACAATATAGTCTTTTTTTTAAAGTGGAGTATTATAAGACTCGGAAAAAGTTTTACAACAAAAAAGTATACTATATTGTAATTTAAAGAGGTACGAAATTACTAGCGGACAAAAATTACTATTATTTTTTTTCTTCCTCAATGAAAAACAATTACTTACAAAAGAGTCTCGGTGGCATTTAAAGATTGCAAACGTGTATAAAAAAAAGTTTAAGTTTAACTCTGTGCAAAAAAAAAGGAATACAATAAATTTCAACACTCGAGAACAGAATTTAATCAACGGGAAACAATCATTTTTGGTATACATTTGATTTTGATTTGGTTGTTTTAGGTTTTTGAGCGTTAAAAAATGGCTGTTGCGCAAAAAGCACCAAATCGAATTGGCCAGGAAAAGGGGATGGAAAGGATATTGGGTGTGTCTGAAGGGCACTACGTTACTCTTCTATCCCTGCGATTCCAGAGAAGGTCGCAGTGTCGAAGCAGCGCCCAGACACCTGATCATTGTCGACGGTGCCATCATGCAGCCTATCCCGGAGCATCCGAAGAGGGACTACATATTTTGCTTGAGCACTGCTTTCGGAGACGCTTATCTGTTTCAAGTAAGTTGAAAAAAAACACCGTTTTTTTCTTTGCATAATCCCTTAAAATAATTTGTATTATGTAAATACGGTACTATCGCCGTACCGCAGTCGAGTTGGACAAAGGCGGTGTAGTCTAGCAGCACCAAAAAATAACTGTATAAACGTCAGCAATGCAGTTTACAGAATATGCAAATTGTATATATTTTCCATTTGGAAAGAGTTCAATAAATGAAATGAAATAATTTCACGGAACGTTTCATAAACGGTAGATGTATTTTTACTGCTTTGCAGGCACCTTGTCAAGTGGAATTGGAAAATTGGGTGAACAGTATACATTCGGCGTGCGGAGCGGCTTTTGCCAGACACAGAGGGAAAATAGGAACACTGCATTTGCTCCAAGAAGAAATTTACAGAATCGAGAAACAAGTGGAAGCGGTAAGTGCATTTCAAAAATAGTTGTATAAACATTTTTAACTTGGTTATCTAGTGACAAGCATGTCGTCTGAACACAATTTTGTTTAGGATCAAAAACTCAAACACATGGCTGAAATACAAGTGGAAATGCTTTCGGATCCTGACACTAAAGAACAAATATTGAAACAAGTTTTAACTTGGGAAGAGAATTTGGAACGACTACACTGTGAACAGTTTAGGCTCAAGTGCTATATGGCAAGTTTACAAAACGGGGAACTTCCTAATCCAAAGGTAGAGTAAAATATATTTAATATTTATACTATTTTGTATTGTATATTTTTTCCCACGTTAAGTCCTTTTAATACTTATGATGATCCGTTACCTTTTAGATTCTCTTAACGCGAGTGTCTAGAGCTACTAAAATTACTTTGAACAAGCTGGGTGTATTCACTGTGTCCTCACTGCACGCATTCATTTGCGCCCGTTCGCCGTCTTTGCTCAACAATCTTTTGGCTGGACGAGGTGCTACCAAGAGAAAAACTCCAATTCTATCTCGATCAAACAGCGGTTCTGGTAGGAGGTCACTGCAGACATCCACGTCACGAGAAGAACAAGAGAGAACTGTCAAAGTGTCATTGCCCGATAATCAGGTAAATTACTTGTACACAAATGCACCATAAACGACTTAAACGAAGCATTTTAAATGTTCAGTCCCGAAGTATCTAATTAGGAATTTATAATCTCTTTATCTTGACAGCTTCTTCTTGACCTCACAATAGAATAACAGAGCGCACCAAAAATATGAAAACTGTATTTGACCCTATAATCGTTGATTTTTCTTGTTCATGTTTGTTTGGCATCGTCAAGTGCCTTGTGTCCTACGTTTAAGCCTGATGTGTATTGAGCTTTGTCCCACATTATTAGTAGCGACTGTGAAAACCCAAAAAAGGCTTCAAAGAATGTGAAATGAGTCGAGGGGGGAATGAAACCTACACCAGCCAGAAAAAAACTATTAGCCGGGCTCTTATTACCAAATCAATGACTACTATTATATGTATATAATATTTATCTTATTATGAAAATTGGTCGATTTTTAAAAACCGTTCATGTTAAGTATATTTATATACATTCATTTGTATTCCTGCAGTCAGTTCAGATTCATCTACGCGAAGGAATGACCGTAGAAGAGTACTTGGCGTTCTCGTGTTCGAGGAAAGGACTCAATCCAATGGAACACTTTGTCAGGGTCAAAAAGAGGAGAGATATGGAAGACCATAATTATTTTGTGCCCCCTCGAACCGATAGCATCGAAACCTATGTAAGTGAAATTTAAGTCAATATTGAATGTAGTCATTACGTATGAAACGGTCCGGTCCATTTGTTTAGCTGCACACCCACGAAGTCGTTGAAGTAAGGGCGAAAATTCTCTATCAGGTTGAACTGGAGAGAAATACTTTAGACCATATGTGGGGATTTTCGGTAGAAGCCGAGCTCATTGAAAACTCTGACAGGCAAGACGAGCTGTGCTGTTACGTTAGCCGCGTCGAAGACAAAGGAATAGCTATACAAAACGGTAATCAAATGTACAGCTGTGGATTTATTATATGCTTAGTTTGTGTTGAGGGAAATTCGTTCAAGCACAACAAGTAGTAGCAACTATTATACGTTTTAAAAAAATTATTGTATTAATGGTCACAGGGATAATTAAAGGTGATGAAATAATGGTAATCAACAGCGCTATCGTGAGCGATTTGGATATGATGTACTTGGAATCGGCTCTCCAGGAGGAGTTATCCTTGAGTATGATGATGAGGTCGTCCAGGACGGAACCGCCACAACTGCCGCCGGGTTCCAGAATTGTGTCCAAGACCACCGATGATATTATTCAATCGTTGGTTTGTCCTCCGCCGCCAACAGACCCGCCTATGATCTCGGAAGAGATGATCTCCGGCTTAATTGTGCCTGCGCCCAATTGGAGTAAGTGATAAATGCACGCACATGCAATCATATTATGATGTACTTGGCTTAAATTGAAATTCGCGTTATCTTGCTATTATTAGACAGAGAAGGGCATTACGATATGGACACGACCAGTGCAATGCAAGATTGCAAACTCGCATCCAGAGGAAATTCATTCGAAATCGAAAACCTGATTAAAGTAAGCGATACACCAAAACATGTCTTTTCCCGAATGGACAGCAGCAATGACAATATGCATTATGTTACATCGTTTCCAGAGTGCCGGAGAAGTGACCGGGTTCTGCAGGTCACCGGAACCGGCCAGAAGGATCAGCCCAACTATAATACCTGCAACTCACAATCCAATCTTGACCATCGGTCGTCAGCTGACAGATGCAGAAAAACTGAGAAAAGTTATTTGTGAACTAGTAGACACCGAAAAGTCGTATATTAAGGTAAGCGTGCATAAATCTAGTACTTATGTAGATTTCAAATGTATAATTTTAAGCAAAAATGCTAACTCCACAGCATCTGAACAATCTGTTGGAAAACTACTTGGAACCGCTTAAACAAGAAACGTTTTTGAGTGGCGTGGAAATAGCCGTCCTGTTCGGCAACATTCAAGAAATAGTGCAGTTCCAACACCAGTTCTTGCAAAATCTCGAAGAACCCATACGCCAAGAACCGAATTTTTACAAATTTGATCAACCGGAACAGTTTAAGGTGAGGGATTTTAAAACAGTATACTATAGACGGCTATAAAACTGTAATGTTTGACTTAATATTATTTCTTTATAGAATATTCTATTTTCAATCGGGAGCGCCTTTTTGTACTACGTGAATCATTTTAAATTGTACAGTTCATTTTGCGCCAGCCATTCGAAAGCTCAAAAAATTCTCAATCCGAGTAAGTGCTACAATGGTATTTTTTAAAATCCAATACCCTAACACTGGGAACGTTTCTTGTTTTTTTTATATAAACAGACGAAGGTAATCAAGCATTACAGGAATTTCTTTGCGCAAGAAATCCTCGTCAGCAGCACTCCTGTTCGTTAGAATCGTATTTAATAAAACCCATACAGAGGATACTGAAGTATCCATTGCTTTTGCAGCAGCTAAGGAACCTTACAGATCCCACTTCGGACCAACATCTTCATCTCGTTGGTAAGTTTCGCTATGTGTTTAACTACATTGTACTACACAGTCTATGTGTGATGTAATTGTTAACCTAATATTTTATGTGTGTTCGCCGCAGAGGCTTTGAAAGGGATGGAAAATGTTGCTGAACATATCAACGAAATGCAACGAATACACGAAGAGTACGGAACGATATTTGATCACTTGTTTAGACAACACCAAAAGTCGTGCAAACAGGTAAAGTATAATTTGTAATAATATCTAACATATTATAATTGTTTTACAGTTAAATGATATGGAGTTTTCATTGAAAGCAATGCGTTTATATGATGTTTTCCAGGCTATTGATTTGTCGCCCGGCGATTTACTCTATTACGGCGGCGTCGAGTGGCTGAACATCTCGGACTTTCTTGGTAAAATCAAAAAGGGCGTAGAGCTACACGCCATGTGTTTTGTTTTTAAATCAGCAGTGGTGTTCCTATGCAAAGAACGCCTGAGACAGAAGAAAAAATTAATGGTCAGTATACTCGAAACGGTATTGTTACAAGCGCAACTAAGACAACATTTCCGTATTCCGGAATTTAGAAATCTCTCTTTTTTAAATATAATCTCAAAGGTACTTGGAAAAATGTCGATTTAGTTGCGCTTACGGTCATGACGTTAATGTAGTAAAATTTTAATAAACGGTTCCACTGCTGTTTGATGTACAGAGCGCGTCCGGCAAAAATGAGATGGAGGTAATTAGATATCAGGTTTTGGTTCCTGTAACCGAAGTACAAGTTCGGGCGAGCTCGGCCAAGGACATGGAAACTCATTTCTTGTGGGAGCTCATACACTTGAGGAGTCAGGCGGCCAGGAGACCCGAGAAGATTTACGTGCTATCAAATAGGTGAGCTATAGTAGAGCTGGATTTAAGCTAAATGTCGAGTAGTAGTATATTTCGATCGATTAATTGCTATTTATCATTTTGTTCAGTACTACCGAGTTTAGGAATGCGTTTTTGAAAACTATACGCCAAATAATCCGCGAAAGCGTCCGGAACATGAGCATCCCCACTGCCAAACCCACGACCAATTCAGCGTCACAACTAGTTAGCAATACGGCGACGTTGGGAAGACAAACCATCAGTGCCGGAAGTGAGTGACAAAATTCTCGGAGCTTGCTCAATGGCGTTCTTTTTTTTTTGAGGGGGGGGGGGGTTGGGCTAAAGGAGTTTTGGCGGATCAGATCTATAAGTTTTGTTTGTGCATTTAGCTTCGCAGCACAACAAAATGGAATCTTCGAAACCGCCCACCACGCCCAGCGTACCTCAAGGGTCTCAGACCCTGGGAAAACCCAAGAAAATTCCTCCAAAACCACCTCAGCGACACTCGTCCGGTAGCACCACGGTGACCAAGGTCGAGTTGCAAAGCCAAGGGACGTCGTCTACCGACTCGACGACGGACACGGGGGCAACGCAAACGGTTTTGCCGAATTACAGATCCCGGATTAAAGGTCGGTGTGGATAAATAATTACTGCTCCGAGTATAACAGCGGGGATGAATGACACCACTCTCTTAATGCGTGTCCGTAGACGACAAAAGAGACAGTCAAAAGTCCGAAGGGGAGGATGACAGCGGCAGTCATCCGGGCCCGGCCAAGAGTGTTCAATCGCGCGGCAGTCTGGGCAAGACGCCCAACTACTTAATGCTGAGCACCACGTCCACGTTGTCGGCCAGCAGTACGGGAAGCCAAGCAGCCAGGCTGGTGGAAAGATCACAACAGCCAGAAAACTATCAGCCGCCTCAGGTGCAGGACCTCGGTAAGACGGATCTGCACCAGGATTACTAAAAAAAAAAATATTCGTGCAACCCACTGACGACATAGGAGGTTAGACCCGTTATAGTGTTAGCCCAGGCACAGAGAGGGTCGAACGTGGCAGAGTGAACTCTGCAAGAACTCACGCGACCGGCAGAGTTCACTCCGCCAAGGGGCCGCACCGTCGTTTTGTATTGCATGTCGACATGGATATGTTTTAGGGCTGATTACGGATGTTGATAAGAGTCTTGTGATGAGAAACCGTTGATTATGAGCGCTGACGATGGCTGCTGATAAGAGACCAGTTGGGATTAGGATGGATTTAGAAATAATTTTTTTGGGGTTAGATAGGTGAGGTTAGCGGGTTAGGTCAGGAAGGACGAGGTAAAACATATCCATGGTTCTAGGTTTTTCCGTGTAGCGGACAAATCTTTGCTATTTTTATTGATAAGGGCTTGTCGAAGGTGTAGTGTTAAATTCTCAAATATAGCAGCCGCTCACTCGTTCCTTGTTATTTTTTTTCTACACAGGATCTCCAGTGTGGAAACCCAGGGAACCAGGCGAATCGTTAACGTTGCCGAGAAAAAAGAAACCGGCTCAAGATAAATTCGAAACCAGGACAATGGTGAGAAAATGCGACTCCAAGAAAGACAAGAAGTGAACACACACGTGTACGGGTCTTTTTTTTTTTAATAATCCTCTAGCGTGGACGTTTGTACGCTGTATTTATTGTGAGCAGACGGTTGGGGTATGATCTGCGGACCGGGGCAGTCGAAGGAACATCATTATACTACTGATGTTGTTTCGAATCGACAAAGTTTAATTGTTATTCTTAAATACTATTTTCATTGCGCTAAGTTCCTACTTTATATTCGTTAGGCATTTTATTTCGTTCATTTGTGTACATAATAATAATTTAATATAATATATAAATTAATAACGTCCAGGCGTTGTGTGTGTGCCAAAAGGAAGCAATAGGGATTGCTCACTTGTTACACACACACACACATGGCCTGGATTGTCTAAAAACAAGAGTAGATCATACTCGGGTCGTTCTGTACCTCTGTCGAATGCGATCACTTCGACATTATGAATATCTTTAAGTATGTGTACTACTTTGCTTGATTTCGGTATTGTATCCAAAAGTTAATAAGATACTCGGTTATAAGACATTGGTGGCATACTATCCATTCAAGTGAACCCAAAGACACCACTTTTGACCACCCGAACAGCTTTGAAGTAATTATTTTGAATAATAATAATAGAATATGTAACATTATAACATTTTTAAAACACTATTCCAATTTCGATTAGGTGTGTGTTGGGCGCAGAGTAAAATAACATAATAATATGGCTGAAAAAACGCTTTAAAATATCAATAACTTTCAATCGAGTCAATGCTTTTATAGCTGTTATTAGTTGGGACAAATTTAATATATTATAACCCCATCCCTTGTGTGTCGTTAAAACTCTTAAAGTTGATCAAGTTTAAAGTTTAGGACGGTAGAAGGGTGTTTTTTTCTCTTAAATTTTAAACAGCGCGCATTACTCAACCGCACACCCCCAACCGTCCTAAATTTTACATCAATAACTGGTCCAAAAAACTGGTTAAAAATGTTCAGCAAATTATTCTCGATCAAATTGATCCACATTGAATGTATTAAATTTTGCCAACTAATAACTTAACCGCAATTAATCAGTCAAGCCACCATTTGATCTCATTAGTAATATTTTTAATCGGTATACAACCATGATATTCTAACCAAAACAGCATACAGAATGATGATCCCTATCAATACATAAAAAACATCAATGTACAGTACAATATTATTATACGCCTTATTTTATTTAGCGCCAAGCTCAGCTTAAGTCGGTCAAACGATATTATCCACGTTGAAGTGTCTCAATAGATCAAAATTAATCGAACCAAATTAACGATAATGTATAATATTTAACACCTGATAATCTCACATCTCGTCAGCTTTTTTTCTTGTATGTTATGTGCTCATCGTCTTGGGGTCTTGGTGCAAGGAATTGATAAATCAACGTGGGTTGACGATCGATGGATTTGACGGGCCAACGATCGACAATTCACCACATTGACATAATGTCAATGTAACAATAATAATATTGTTACTGGCTATTTTTTAAATGATTACACTTTTTCCCACCCAACTCTGCTCGTATGCGACACACACAAACGCTCACAGAGGGGCCAAGGGGAGGGGGGGGGTTTGAAAAAAGCTTCTTTTTTTTTTTAAAAGTGCACCAAATTCAGCCGATTACCTCTCTGAATAGTCCATAAGCAAACAAAACTGTTGTTGTTGTTGCTTGAAAACAAATGTTCTAATTAAAATATGTACACTGCTTTACACTTACTAAGTATAAAAGAGTTGGTATATGGTTAATGTCTAAAAAAAAAAATATCAAACAATTTTTTTTCCCCACAAAAGGTTAGGTTTAGGATATGATAATATAAGCTTGTTGTATATTGTTATACTTTTAAGTCATATAATGGAATAAACTAAAATATACCAAAGCCCCATCCAAAAAAAAAATAAAAACTCACTGTACCGTTATTATTATTATTAATTCAAAGTTCATTAAAAAAAGAAAATTGTTCCAGCAATAATTTTTTTTTAATTTTGGCCCCTACTCTTATACTTACATACAAAACCCAGTTACATCATTGCAAAACACACCGTGTTAAATGTATTGTAAAAAAAAAAAGAAAACGGTTATAACCGTTTGTATGTTTGCTCTTTTTTTTCTCTCTTTTTTTCCACCAAAACGAGTAAAATAATTATTGTAATAGTTTCAAAAAAAATAAGAAATTAGCTCATAAATTCCATTTTTTCAAGTTATTCTTAAATATAATAATAATTATACCTACCAAAAAAAAAAAAAAACTATATTATATTGTACATAACACTATATTGTTGAACACGGTATGTGTTGTATATGTGCCGCCGCATTAGGCCGACAACCTAATGTACGTATTTTTTGGGTTTTTTTTTTGTTTTTAGTACATCTGTTTCATTTTGTAATAGTTTTTATCTCGCTGAAAAAATCAAATAGCCTATTTTAACCTACATAATATTGTACACATTTTATAAACGGCATATAAAATTGTTATTATTTTAACATTATACTATAAATTATAATTATAAATCTCCAATTCAGACGTGAGACGTTATTCTGTGTTGTATTCTGTTTTTCTGGCACCAAAAAATAATCACAGTTAATATTGTCACAATATACACAATTATTATTATAATTGTTATTTAAATTTAAACTGCTAATTTATTAGGTTGGTACACCTTGTAAACGTTTGTAATTAATATGTCCCGCTCACGTGTAAGAGGTAGGTGTAATATTATGTATCTTAGTTGTATCTTATATTAGAGAGTAAGTCTTTTTGTTTTTTTTTTAATGTTGATTAAAAAAAAACCACCCGGTTATGTTTTCAATTTAGTACAATCGTTATCATTAATTAATTTTTAAAAAAAATATTACTAATTATATTATAATATAAAATAATATTATTATTATTATTATTGTATGAATTTAACGAACGTTTTTTTTTTTTATTTCGTTACTATTACAATATTATAATACGTACGTTTATCATACAACATTATAAACTTATAGTACGAATATTATACGTAGAATATTACATATTGTATGATTATTTTACTTTAGACCCACCGCACAACGTAAAAAATAAAATAAATATATATTATAAATAATATAATACAATACGATATTATCGAAATTTTATTGTTTTTTTATTAGTTTTTCCGTCAAAACAATATAAATGTATAAAAAAAAACAAAAATTATTCAAATAAAAAATATGTTGAGATATTATTGTTGTGTTATTGTATTTGTAAATAAAAATATAAAAAAATAATAAAAAATAATAAACGTATTTTTGTTTTTTTGTACACGCTATTCTATTGATACATTTTCCATGTCTGTCGCGTAAATACGTAAGCGCGTTTACAAAACGTAATTGACGGCCGAGTGTTGGACGTACGACGGTGCGGCCGGGTGGTAGATGGCGGCCGGCTGCGGATAGGCGTAGTGCGCGGCGGGTACGTAAGGCGCCGGCAGGTGCACGTAGGCCGGTTCCGACGGGTAGTACACGTGCTTGAACACGGGCTCGTGTTGCTGTATCACGTACGGTTGCTTGATCAGGGTGACGTCGGGCGAGGCCAAGTGCACTCTTGGAAGCAACACCGGCGTGACGTCCGGGGCGGGTGCGGCGTACGCGGCCGAAGCCATCAGCACAACAATTGCCTGGAATAAAGCAAATATAATATAATATTATTTGATTAAACAACACACTTGTTACGCTGGGTGTCGAATGGCTTTTCAAACAACCAATATCTCCTAACAACTTATCATATCTTATTGTAAATAAGATTATAATATATTAAATTGTATCTTATAATAAATCTAACTGCTCATTCTACTTATCTAAATGTACTTAAACGATTTTTACATGGGTGTATTCCTTATTTATTCGAGCAACCTGACGTCGAATCAGCAAGTGAGAGTTGTAAAAAATAATGCAAGCAGTTTCTGTTATGAATCCGAGTAAAAAAACTTACTACCAACTTACTACACTGACCTTGATGTTATAATAAAATAAATACACATTAAAGCTAGCTGTAAATATCATAATAATGTATAGCCAATATAACCTCGTAGCTACCGGTTTATTCCTAAATGCCTAAATTACATGTATTCATATTGACAACGAATCTGACTTGCCTAAAAACAAATGTATCAGTTTATTAAGAAAAAGTAACTATTCAAACGACACCTTCTTGATACATTTTATCTAAATTAAATGACAAATACATATTTTATTTAATACCTTATTATCCGAAATTTATCACAAATTAATTGGTCATTTTTTATACGTTTAATACAGTGATTATTATTTGTTACTCACTGATTGTTTTTATTAGTTTCAATAGGTTTGAAGGATTTTTAATACTTTGATGTATAAATAATAATAAAAAAAGAGTATTAAAAATAATTGTTTAATTAGAAGAAAAAGTATATTGTTTATTTATTTTATTATTATAAACTGTATTTATTAATTAAAAATAAAACATTTTAACAATTTTTTTTTTATACTAATAAGTTTGAACTTATCTAAGTTAATATTTTAATAATATTGTTAGTTTTAAATAATAAATATAAAACAATTATCTTTAAAGTTATATACCGTGTTATTCTTTTAACGCCTGTTTTCTTTTAAAATGATTGATATTTTGTATTTTTTCGGTTTGAAAAAACTTTTCACTATATTACAATATTCAAATTTAGTATCATCTAGAACTTTTGAAACTTTTGAAACTTAAATAAAAAATAATTTGCTGAAAATAGTGATGACCAATTTTAGATAAACGAGTTTAAACTTAAATAACATTAAAAAAATGATTCAAAACCGAATACTGACCGGTCAAAATTTTCAGTACATTATTCTCAATTTGAAAATTCAATTAATATATATATATGTTCCCATTTGGGTAGATTAGATGTTTTTAGTATAATCTTAACAAGTAAAATTATGAGAAAACCCTACAAATCCCCACAAATCTATCACATTTGCATTGTCAAATAAAATAAATTTGTACTCACCAGAAATTTCATTGTCGGACTCAACTCAAACTTGGACTGCACAATTTGAACGTGAAAACCACTGTAGACCATCAAACGCTAAGGAATCTATCTTTTATATGCCCCACACACATAATATTCGTACCCCTTGTTTCTCAGGTATATTAACCTCTTGGCCACTCCTCCTTTCACAGCGGACATCCTGGCAACGACCTCAAGATATTTCCAATCAAATATAATATATACATTTTTTTCTTTTTATCCGTTTGTGCGATTGAAGATGCGTTATTTGCGATTGGATTGTAAATGAAAAAAAAAAAAACAACAACAACAGTAATAATAAAAATAGTTCAGTCTGTCGAATAAACAATTAATAGTGCATAATGTAAGACACAACCACATTTGTATTGTTTCAGTAATCATAATGGCCGTATGATGATCAAAACATAATATCAATTCTAATGTACATTTCTTCGAGGTCAACAGGCGTGTGTTTTTAAGATTAGGTGATTCACCTTTAAACGCCATCTACTGTCTGCGCTAGCACAGAGATTTATAGTTCCCATTTAAACCCTGGGAATGTGTCATATATAACCTTTGTGTAGAATTACAATTTCCAATGGGTATGGCCAAAAAAGTTATACTTACTCTCAAGTTCCACCGAATTGTCAAAGGGCAAAGATGGGACACTAAAATCTGACTCTGGGAATGTACAGACAAGGTAAAATACATTTTCAACAAAGATAAACTCAAATGTACTCAATTAAAACGTCTAGTTACATTGGTTGACAGTTTAAAAAATATCTTTGACTACATCATATTGGTTTGGAGACACTTGCATTAGGTAAATGCACCTAGCGGTTGCTGTATCCACCGCACTGTTGTCGATGATGTTCCTGTTGTACACGTCCCATGTACGTGTGACGTTTGAATAGACAAATATTGATGTATTCAAAAGAACAGCCGAAGCGATTATCTCTATTTTGGTGGCCCAATCTAGAACGATTAAAAAAAAAAAAATGGATTTTTTGAACAATAAAGACGAGATTAGGACGTTCCGTTTAACAAGTAACGATTAATAAATACTATTTTACTCACTAATGTTGATCGTGGAAAAGCTAATGAACTCGTTTGTTTCGTACAGTTTTTGAATAGCACGATTAAAAAAAATTTCCTGAAATTAAATAAAACCGACAAGAATATTCTGAAACGGCGTGAGATTTGAATAACCTTAAAATATATTTGCAAAGATAAAAACCTTTATCATATTATTATTAAACTATCGAGCACTGTGTTCAAATAATTTCCTACACAAATTTGGAAATCAATTTATACTGTAACTTTAATATTTAACTTAAAAGAATCTGTTTTTTTTTTTTTTTTTTTAGGGTACATTCCTATTAATTCTAAAGTCAATTGTGGGACGACTGAAGCTAGATGATTATTCGATTAAACGGTTCTAGTATTTACCATGGCTACATATTTTCGCATGAGTTGATGATGGTGTTCTGTGCCGGTCACACAGTAAGAAAGTGCTCTGAAGAAACAATTCTTGCCTTTTTGTATTTCGACACATTCCTTCGGAGTACTGAGAATTGTCGGTGATCGATTAAACTGGAAAGGCTTTTCTAGTGACAATTTCCATTTGTTACACATATTGAATTGCCAATGTTCTTCGACAGGATAAAAGAATCTGATTTCTGCCGGTTGACATCTTACTATTGGCAAGGTGTTTTGTACGACTATTCACACAAAGAGGTAATTTATATACAGAATTATTTGAATTTTTAGAATATTAGGATCGGCATTTTAGAGCAATAAAATCAATTGTAGAAAAAAATTATTTTGTAAATCTTTGTAGGTTGAGGGAAATTAGAGGTTTTCAAACGGCCTAATGAACTTTAAGAGATAGACAGCCGGTTTCAGCAACATTTGTTAAGAATTTAACTTATTGTCAGTTATATTTAACAACTAATGAATTACACATTTGATGAGGAACTTCTTTAAATTGTGTGTTTAGAAAACAATAGAAATGACAACTTCGATAACCCTTTATAGGGGTAAGTAGAAGATGTTTTATGTAAGTAGATCAGGTAAAAAGGAACGGCACAGACTTGCATTATAGGATCAAATATCATAATTTATTGTATTTATTATGCCTTGCCTGTCCTGAGTAAATTGAAATAATTCTTATCACTAGCTACTTTTTTTTTTTTAGGCTTTCGAAATAAAAACAATTATTTTAATGACAAACTATTTTTAGAAAGGTGTATACTATCTAAACAGTGTGTGTTAAAAAATGATGTATAAATTATTATTTATATAAACCGAAACGTTAAAACTTAAAAGAAAGTAAAATAAAATATCAAATAATAACAAACTGAAAAATTAAATAACACAATCACTTATCAGTTATCACATATCTCGATAACCAATGATAACGTTGGAATCGAGGTAACCGCTTTGGTAACCCAACTAACGTTTTGTGAACTTAACAAAATATAGAATTTAACAATAATAACGTCACGGTGAAACTTATTTCATTTGACCAGATGTTAAATGTAAAATGAATTTTGTTAACTAACATTGTGTTAAAAGTGTATTTAGCAGTGTATTTAGTTGGTGTAAAAGTAATTTATTTATAAAGAAAAGTAATTTCCACATCACAGTGTTATCATATTGTGTTATGTATACAAATAACAGGATAGCAACTTTAATTACCAATAAATTGTTACCAAATGATAAACTAGGATTAAGTACTTAATATAGTGATATTTACCTTGATCGGATTTCACGTCCGTCACTAAATTATAATGTATTTCCGAAACATGCTGAAGATAAATGAACTTATCGGTTTTCTTCAGTGGACCTCTGTGTGTTCTGTTCTGGTCAAATAAGACCCAAGCCTGTTTAAGGTTTTCATACACATATATCGGTGTGTCCAGAAGAAAAGTGGACGCGATAATTTCTACTTCTGTTGCCCAAGCTAAAACACGATTTAATGATATTTAAAAATCTTCACGAGTTCAAGTTCAATGTTCACGATAATTGTACACAATTAAATATATGACCTACTGTCATATGATAACCAAATTAGGTGTTGGCGATGATAAATGTCTTCTAGATAATTCTTAATACGTACATCCTTCTTCACTATCTGTAAAAAAAAAAATTATTATTATTTTAGGAAATCAATAATTGTGTCTGTGCGTGTGTCAAGTCTTTGAAGAATAATTGATAATGGCTGTATACTTAATGCCCAATAGAAAATAACATTATATTTTATGCCACGCATTAATATTATGCGTTTTAAATTGTGTTGTGATAATAGATACTTTATATATTTATTTTTATGTTAATTTCAATATTCTAGTTATTACATCTTCTACACGTTGTCGAATGGTCTGATGGTGTTTGTCCGTGCCAGACATCCATTGAGACAGCGCTCTGTAAAAACCGTGTCTGTCTGGTGTAATTTGAACCCACTGCGATGGAGAATTGAGAATTTTCACCGTTTGATTAAATTGGAAATAATTCTCGAGTTTCACTCCCTCGAATTGCCTACACTTTACGTACTGCCAAAATTGATCGACAGGATTAAAATATAGATCTCCATCTGGTGTTCTTGGTCCCACAATCGCTAGTTGGTTATTACTTCCACTGCTACTACTTTCGGCTACATCGTTTTGAGAATAAATTCGTTGAAACTCTTTCCTCATCCTCGAGTCCATGGCCTTTGAATTTTCGTCAACTGCATTTACCAACAGCATTGCAGGAATATGAAAATACCCTAAACAAAGTAATACTATACAACTGCTTGGATACATCTTAAAAATTTAACGTTAAACAGTAAAATATGCACTAGACAACTTGAAAGTTTCCAAACGCGTTAAGAAACAATGTATTTGTATTTATATCAACTATAAAGTATCCTTGCGTTTGGTTAGTTTGTATAAGCTAAAATCAACAAAAAAACACTGTGCACACATTTTTTTGGCACTGTTCTAAAGTATAGAGCTGTTTTTTTTCTGCTAAGGTCGGCGCAAACTAAATAATAACGATAAAATCACATTTTCTATTACACACCAAACGAATGAATACGAATTTAACACATAGTGTGGTGCGATTCTTTTAAAATATTCTACAATATTAATTTTTCAGAACACCTATTATTGTTTTTAGAAATACTCGAATTATTTACATCTGCGGTTTTACCGCTTAATTCATTCGGTCGTTATAATTTTCTTGTTAGTTGACTTTTGTAGAAAAAATACTTTAAGAAAACTACAAAAATATGTACAATATGCTTGATCATTTTAGCAACGCTATAGTGGACTTATATTTAAATCCAACAAAAATCCATATCTCCAAATCTTACTTAACCGTTGAATTCTTAAATTTAACTATAAAAGACTGTACGACTAATATGCCAAACATAGTATATTGCTGATTTATAATTAAATAATAGAATTAGTGATGATTAATAGGCATTGAAATTGACTGTGTCAAATACAGGCATATTATTAAAAAAAGATAATTAAAGACAATGTCAATTATCATACTTCTCTAGTTTCATGTGTAGTGTAATATACTAAATGATCAAAAATAGTTTGATAGACTTATTTTAATAGTCTAACAACTTTTTAATAGTCAAATAGCAGTTAAGATAATTTTTTAATTGATAGACATGAGTGAGCACTGTGCAAAATAACTTATTATATATTTAATTTTATAAAAAGAAACGAAAGCTGACCTAAGAATATAATATGATGGCCTTTCTTTAATAAATGCTATTTGTTATTCATTTATAACAAGTCCAACTTATTTCATCTCATAATCAAATCAATCTATTTTGAACTAAAATTTGTGGTCATTTATTAAACAATAAACGTGCTTAAAAAATATGAATCTATAAAAAAATGTATAAACATCAAAAGTCGTTCAAAGCTAGGCGGGTTATAGCCATACTCATATCAAAATATTTACATATATTAAACAATACTTAATTTTCAAGCTGAAGCCACGAGAATGGTCATTAGTTATATTTGAATAAATTAACTGTTATTTATAATTTTCAATTTTTAACATTATTGTTTGTCAGTAAACAGGATTTTAGTTATATACATTTTGAAATATTGTTATTTTATTTTCTAGATCTTATGAATAAATTAAATTTAATGTAGCATTCAACCTATCAATATTTAACAATGATATGACGTACAACAAAATATGTTCTCATTTACAACATCTAGTTATAATAATTGGCAGCATCAACAAAGTCCAGTACTTCTTCAACTACATCATATTCATTTGGAGACTTTTGCCTTAGGTAAATGCACTTATCATTCATTATATCCATTGGAACATTGTCTATAATGTTCTTGTTGTATACATCCCAAGTTTTTGTATCGGGTGAATAGACAAATATAGATGTATTCAAGAGCACAGCCGAAGCAATTATTTCTATTTTAGTTGCCCAATCTGAAAAAATGAATAACAATTAGTGATTTGATCCTTGAACATCAAAAATATGTTTGGGAGATTCCATTTATCAAGTAACGACTACGGTTGATACTATTTTACTCACTAAGCCTTATCGGATGAAAGCTTATGAATTCATTTCTTTTGTACAATTTTTGAATGGCACGATTAAAAAGAATTTCCTGAAAACACACTAAATATAATAAAACCGTCTGAAATATTCCAAAATGGCATACGGTTTGAATAACCTTAAAATATATTTTCTTAAATAAAAATGGTTATCATATTAAACTAGCAGCCCGGCCAGTTTATGACTTGCTAAACCCAAGTTAAATGAATAATACTAATATTTCCTTGGTTTTTGTTGGGATCGGGACGTACCAAGTTGCAATTTTGTAGTCTACCTTATTGACGGAATTGGGATGATATTAATTTGCATAAGTAATATTATGCATTTTGCAACAAAAAAAAAAAAAAATTATTTTATTTTCCAGATAGGTGTCTGCTTTTGAATCTTATTTTATCAAATTGTTACAATAAAAATAAATATGTTGAATGATCGATAACCTGTTTTAAATAAATACTTTTATAAAGCGTTTAACGTTTACAGTTATAGCTAGAAGGAATAATATATAAGTCCTTCATGCCTACATAATATATTGTTGAAAAGATACAGAACGTAAATTATCTCAGATGTAAACTGTAAGCTAGATGATTATTCAATTATCTATCCAAATGGTTCTAATTTTTACTTCAGCTACATATTTTCGCATGATTTGATGATGTTTTTCTGTGCCGGTCGCACAGTAGGAAAGCGCTCTGAAGAAACAATTCTTGTCTTTTTGTATCTCGACACATTTCTTCGGTGTATTGAGAAGTGTTGGTATCCGGTTATAATCGAACCGCTTTTCGAGTGACAATTTCCATTTATTACACTTATCGAATTGCCAAAGTTTGTCGACAGGACAAAAGAATCTGATTTCTCCCGGTTGACTTCTTCCTATTGGCAAGACGTTTTGTACGACTATTCATACAAAGAGTAATTAATATACACATTTATTTAAATTTTTAGCATATCAGGATCAACATTTCAGAGTAATAAAATCAATTATAAAAGAAAAAAAAATATTTTGCGAATCTTTGAAGGCTGGTGGAAATTGGGGGGTTTCAAACGGTTTAGAGAATTTTAAGAGATAGAGCATGGGTTATAAGAAATGTAATATTTAAAAAAAAAAAATAAGTAATTAAATTAGGTAGACTGAGAATAGGTTAGTAAATTTATGTATAAAGTAAAGTAATTTGCTCAACACAGTGTTAACATATGTTATTGGTAGGTATACAAATAACACGATAGCAACTTTAATCATCAATAAAGTATTCAAATGATTAATTAGGTTTAAGTACTTATAGTGATTTTACCTGGGTCTCGGTGGGATTTCACGTCCGTCACTAAATTATAATGTATTTCCGAAACATGCTGAAGATAAATGAACTTATCGGTTTTCTTCAGTGGGCCTCTGTGTGTTCTGTTCTGGTCAAATAAGACCCAAGCCCGTTTAAGGTTTTCATACACATATATGGATGTGTTTAGGAGAATAGTGGACGCGACAATTTCTATTTCTGTTGCCCAAGCTAAAACATTAATGTTTAATGATGTTTGAAAATCTTAACAAGTTCAAGTAATATTCACAATAATTGTACAAAATTAAATATTATTTATTCTTATCTTTCGACCTACTGTCTTGTGATATCCAAAATAAGTGTGAACGATGCTTTATTTCTCCTAGAAAATTCAAAATTCGTTGATCAGTCCTTACTATCTGTAAAAATATATATTATTATTTTAGGCAATCAATAATTGTTTTTGTGCGTGTGTCAAGTCTTTGAAGAATTGCTAATGGCCATATGTTTAATACCCAATAGAAAATAACATTACATTTTATGCCACACATTAACATTATGCGTTTTTAAATGTGTTGTGTTAGATACTTTTTAATTTAATTTTTGTTTATTTCAATATTCTAGTTATTACATCTTGTACACGTTGTCGAATGGTCTGATGGTGTTTGTCCGTGCCAGACATCCATTGAGACAGCGCTCTGTAAAAACCGTGTCTGTCTGGTGTAATTTGAACCCACTGCGATGGAGAATTGAGAATTTTCACCGTTTGATTAAATTGAAAATAATTCTCGAGTTGCACTCCCTCGAATTGCCTACACTTTTCGTACTGCCAAAATTGATCGACAGGATTAAAATATAGATCTCCATCTGGTGTTCTTGGTCCGACAATCACTAGCTGATTATTACTTCCACTGCTACTACTTTCGGCTACATCGTTTTGAGGATAAATTCGTTGAAACTCTTTCCTCATCCTCGAGTCCATGGCCTGTGAATTTTCGCCAGATGCATTAACCAACAGCATTGCAGAAATATGAAAATACCCTAAACATAGTAATATTATACAACTGCCTAAATACATCTAAAAATTGTTATTTTAAACAGAAAAATATGTTCTATTTAATAGTGCCCTAGACAACTTCAACGTTTCAAAACGCGTTAAGAAATAATGTTTTTTTATTATAGCTATGATATATCTCTGCGTTTGGTGTGTTTGTATAACCTAAAATTTAGAAAAAAAAAACACTATTTACACATGTTTTTCGGGTTGTACTAAATTGTAGAGACGCCATTTTTGTATGTCTGCGCCAACTAAATAAAAAACAAAAATCAAAGGCCATAATAGGTATTATTTCATTGTTCATCCATCAATATCATACACTGTATTTTTAATAAAATCACTAGTAAACAATGTCCATGTGTGAGTAGTTTTATTGACAATGGTATTTCTGAATGTAGTCCGTTTTGCCCAGTTGGCTCTCTTATTGTTGAGTTATTGCCTACACTCCATATAATACGGGCATAAACAAAAATTAAAAAGTGTTTATTTGAATTGATATTGAAACAATCTGTTATAGGAAAGTTAACACATTTTTATCAAAATATAACACTTATATTAGCGTGTAAGCGTTTTACAATATTGCAAAAACTCCGTATTGAAAAATCAAGGTAGGTATAATATTATGTACTCGTGTTCCATGTTGGTCTGTAATATACCATTTGTGTATACAAGCGTCCCGCAGATTTCAACGTTTTCCAAATGTAACTAACAGCTTAAAGTAAAAATGTTTGAAAAGAAAAATGGTCGTGCCTCCAATAAATAATAAATGAACACTTATGCACTGTACAAATAGTAGAAACAGAGTGCTTGACTTTTAAACGGCATTTATCAAAACCGAAGGTCTTTCGAACAAGTCAATTGTTAACATTCACATATTATTTATAACAGGGTTTTCTTTTTGAAATTTTGAACCATTTATGTTTGATTTTTTTATTGCGTTAAAAGGAAACAATAGTTATGAACAGATTTTTAAGAAAACCGTACATCATAGTATAGTCTTATTTTAAATTAACATTCGGTCTAATTTTTAAAACTTAATTAAAACTCGCGTTTAAACTCGCGAATAATTAAAATAATATTGTTTTAAACAAAAACACGCCGTATTGTTGTTAATTATTAATAAAAAAATATGCTGTATCGTTGTTAGATATGAATACCTCATTCTCTCATGACCAAATCACAGGAAATTTTAAGCTATTTCTTTTACAAAATGTACAAATTTGCATCAACATTTCCTTAGTTCCGCATGAACGCTTAGAATCGTGTAATAGATGTTTCTAAGATATTCTTTAATTGTTAGGAAATATATTAGTTAACGTATAACAGATAATTTTTATATAAAACGACAAATAGCGTAACATGCTTGAAGTTAAAAAATACGTGTATTATTAGGAAAATGTCTGTATTTTAGTGGGAAAGGTAAACTTGTTTAAATTTGTCTATAGATTTATGATTCTTATTTATAATACACTGAAAAATTAGTTAAACTAAATTGAATCAAAAACCAAAACGAAAATCGGGAACAAGTTTTTAGATATTTATTTTGTGTTTTTGTCGTTCTCGACGGTGTTTCCTAAAATCTATTTAAAAAAAAAAATATCGGGCTGTAATTGCTTAATACTAAAGTTTACTCACAACATTATTGTTAATCGGTAAACTAGATTTTAATAAATACATTTAATTTTAATACAATAAAATGTAGATACATACATCCTATCAATTTCTAAAAACGATAAACACAAAATTGTTTTCAATTACAACCTCTAGATATAATAATTGGCAGCATATTCATTCAGAGACATTTGCCTTAGGTAAATGCACTGGTTACCTACTGGTTTGTGTATCCACTGGACCATTTTCTATAATGTTCTTGTTGTAAGCATCCCAAGTCTCTATGTCGTATGAATAGACAAATATAGATGTGTCCAAAAAACAGCCGAAGTGAATATTTCTATTTTTGTTGCCCAATTTAAACAAAAATATCAAACCGGATTTTTTTGAGTTATCTATCTTGTATAACACAGCTGTTTTGTTTATATACTTATGTCCGAGTATACTCTTGGCCTCTAAAACAGTGGTTTACAAAATGAAAATAAATACGACTTTACCCCAAACCCACTGTGCTGGCTGCATTATACTTAATTTGTCCTCGAAGTTGTTCATGCCTTTATTGATGAAAAATAACTGAATATAAAACAAAAATGTTTACCTTTATTTTTAACCTAAGACTTTACCCATCCGTTGCAATAGCATTCGTTTTGTAGATGTTCAAATGTGTTATTGATATATTATGACATGTAGATACGTTTTATTAATTTTCTTTACCTGTTTTTTTGCTTTTAAAGAAAATTTCAAATTATATTAAACGCAATGATATAATACGACCTTGTGGCACCGCAACTGGTAGAAAATAAGGCGCCTGTAATGTACTATGTAAATGAGTGCATTCGTTAAAAGGTATAATAGGTTTTTCAGAAAAACTACTGGAATGCAAATGTTTTGACAAAGATAAATAAAAACTAGACAGTTGCGTTTTTTGAAGGGAGAGTTCTACAGCTAGAACTTTCTTTTACTTGGAATTACTGAAGCAGATCCAGTATACAGTATACAGAATACAGTAGAGTTTAAGCTATAATTTTAGTACTGCTTAGTTTTTAAGCTAAAGCTATGAGAATGGTAGTTAATTTTTATTTGTTATAATTGTTTAAACACATTTTCGTTAATAGGTAAACAGGATTTTAATAAATATATTTAATTTTAATACGATAAAATGTAGCATACAGCTTATCAGTACAACTTAACGATTTCTAACAACGATAAAGACAAAATCGTTCTCAATATACAACCTCTAGGTACGTTAATTGCCAGCATTAAAAATTCGGCTATGCTCTACATCTTGAACTCATCATATACATTGGAGACTTTTGCCTTAGGTAAATGCACTGGTTACCTACTGGTTTGTGTATCCACTGGACCATTGTCTATAATGTTCTTGTTGTATAGCGTCCCATGTCTGTGTGTCGTGTGAATAGACAAATATCGACGTGTCCAAAAAACAGCCGAAGCGAATTATTTCTATTTTTGTTGCCCAATTTAAACAAAAATATCAAACCGGATTTTTTGAGTTATCTATCTTGTATAACACAGCTGTTTTGTTTATATACTTATGTCTGAGTATACTCTTGGCCTCTAAAACAGTGGTTTACAAAATGAAAATAAATACGACTTTACCCCAAACCCACTGCGCTGGCTGCATTATACTTAATTTGTCCTCGAAGTTGTTCATGCCTTTATTGATGAAAAATAACTGAATATAAAACAAAAATGTTTACCTTTATTTTTAACCTAAGACTTTACCCATCCGTTGCAATAGCATTCGTTTTGTAGATGTTCAAATGTGTTATTGATATATTATGACATGTAGGTACGTTTTATTAATTTTCTTTACCTGTTTTTTTGCTTTTAAAGAAAATTTCAAATTATATTAAACGCAATGATATAATACGACCTTGTGGCACCGCAACTGGTAGAAAATAAGGCGCCTGTAATGTAATATGTAAATGTGTGCATTCGTTAAAAGGTATAATAGGTTTTTCAGAAAAACTACTGAAATGCAAATGTTTTGACAAAGATAAACAAAAACTAGACAGTTGCGTTTCTTGAAGGGAGAGTCCTACAGCTAGAACTTTCTTTTACTTGGAATTACTGAAGCAGATCCAGTATACAGTATACAGAATACAGTAGAGTTTAAGCTATAATTTTAGTACTGCTTAGTTTTTAAGCTAAAGCTATGAGAATGGTAGTTAATTTTTATTTGTTATAATTGTTTAAACACATTATTGTTAATAGGTAAACAGGATTTTAATAAATATATTTAATTTTAATACGTAATGTAGCATACAGCTTATTAGTACAACTTAACGATTTTAACAATGATAAAGACAAATCTTCTCAATATAAACCTCTAGGTACGTTAATTGCCAGCATTAAAAATATCCTCTATGCTCTACATCTTGAACTAAATCATATACATTTGGAGACTTTTGCCTTAGGTAAATGCACTTCTCAAATGAAGTGTCCACTGGAACATTGTCTATAATGTTCTTGTTGTATACGTCCCATGTCTGTGTGTCGTGTGAATAGATAAATATCGACGTATCCAAAAGAACAGCCGAAGCAATTATTTCTATTTTAGTCGCCCAAGCTAAAACAAATTGATAAAACTTAATCCTTGAACAATGAAGACGATTCGGACATTTCGTTTAAGTAAGTATACAATTAACGTAGAGTATCGACTTGTATACTATTTTTTTACTCACTATTTTGTATATTACAGCTTATGAACTCGTTTTCTTTGTATAGTTTTTGAATAGCACGATTAAAAAGGATTTCCTAAAAAAAAAAAAAAAACACTGAAATTACTAAACCGACTAGAATATTCTATAGAATGGCATACAATTGGAAAAACCGTTAATCTTACTCGAGCTACATATTTTCGAAAGATTTGATGATTGATTTCTGTACCGGTCACACAATAAGAAATTGCTCTGAAAAAACTATTTTTGTCTCTCTGCATTTTAACACATTTCTTCGGAGTATTGAGAAATGTTGGCATTTGGATATACTTGAAAGGCTTTTCCAGTGTCAAATCCCATTTGAAACACTTGTCGTATTGCCAAGCCTCGTCGACAGGGTAAAACATTCTGAATTCTTCCTGTTGACTTCTTTCGATTGACACAGGGTTTTCTATACCACCATCAGGCGCTGCTACACTCTCAGGATTCGACATATATCCTTAATAAAATAGTTTAAAGCAAATAAACATACACCTACCTAAATAGAAAAACGGGTAAATCTGTACAGGATGATTTTACCTTGGTCCTGATCGGACACCACATCCGTCACTAGATTATAATGTATTCCAGAAATATGCTGAATATAAATGCACTTGTCCGTTTTCGTCAGCGGGCTTTTGTATTTTTTATTCTGGTCATATAAGTCCCAAGTGCGATTTTGTTGTGAATAAACATATATCGGTGTGTTTAGGAGAAGAGTGGCCGCGACAATTTCCACTTCTGTTGCCCAAGCTAAAACATAGTTCGTTGTATTCAAACTTGTTTTCTGTTCAAATAATGTTCATAATAATAATTTTGCAAATATTTTTTAACCTACAGTTTTGTGATAACCAAATTAAGTGTGCACGGTAATTTTCTTCTCCTAGGTATTCCATAATACGTTGATCGGTCCTTACTATCTGGAAAAATATATACTATTATTTAAAACGGCATATTATGTACAAAGTGATTTATTTAAAGTGGTCCACTCTTAAGTCCTCGAAGAACTGTTAATAGTAACACAGTATACTTAATAGAAATTAATGTTTTATTTTATGCCACACTAGTATAGCGTGTTTAAAGCGTGGTGTGTGTTGGATAGATATGTTTTAATAACATTTATTAATTTCAATGTTCTAATTATTACTTCTAATACACGTAGTCGAACGATAAGATGATTATCCTCGGTGCCAGACACCCAAAAAGACAATGCTCTGTAAAAACAGTTTTGGTCTGGTGTGACCGCGACCCATTGCAACGGAAAATTGAGAATTTTCACCACTTGATTGAATTGGAAATAATTCTCGAGATCCATTTTTAATTGTCTACACATTTGGTACTGCCAAAACTGATCGACAGGATTAAAATAACCGACTTCATCTGATGTACTCGACCCGACCATCGATAGTCGGTCATCGGGGTCGTTAATTTTACTACCAGTGCTTTCGCCAGCGAATCCTGCTTGGTTGTGCAGATAAGTCCTTCGATACTCATCCCACATCCTTGAGTTTATGGCATCTGGATCATCGCCAGCTGCATTTATTATTGGAACATGAAAAAGCCATAAACATAGTAATATTAAACAGTAAAATTTATGTTCAATTTAATAACGCCCCGCAACTCTGTAACGACCAAGGTACTTATAATCTAACGTTACCTAGGTCCTGATCGGATATCACGTCCGTCACCAAATTATAATGTACTCCCAAAATATGCTGAATGTAAATGCACTTGTCCGTTTTCGTCAGCGGTCCTTTGGATTTTTTATTCTGGTCAAATAAGTCCCAGGTGCGATTTCGTTGCGAATACACATATATCGGTGTGTCTAGGAGAAGAGTGGCTGCGACAATTTCCACTTCTGTTGCCCAAGCTAAAACATAGTTCATTGTATTTAAACGTGGTTTCTATGTTCAAACGATGTTCAAAAAAATTGTGCGCGTTTTTTGACTTACAGTTTTGTGATAACCAAATTAAGTGTTCACGATAATTTTCTTCTCCTTGAAATTCCAAAATACGTTGATCGGTCCTTACTATCTGGAATAATATATACGCTATTATTATTCAAAGCGACACATATTCGGTCCTCGAGGAATATGTGTTTCACGGCGTGGTGTGTTAGAAAGCTGATACATTTTAATGACATTTATTTATTTCAACGTTCGAGCAATTACTTCCAATACACGTAGTCGAATGGCAAGATGATTGTCCTCCGTGCCAGACACCCAATACGACAACGCTCTGTAAAAACAATTCCCGTCTGGAACAACGTCAATCCATTGCAACGGTGAATTGAGAATTTTCACCGGTCGATTAAATTGGAAATAAACCTCTGGTTGCAAGTTCAATTGCCTACACTTTTCGTGCTGCCAAAATTCGTCGACAGGATTGAAATATCTGATTTCATCCGATTTACTTGACCCGACAATCACAAGTTCGTCGTCGGGGTCGTTACTTCTGCTTGAACTTCCACAGTAGTAGTTACTTTGGCCCGCTGTGAATGCTGCTTCGTGGCTTCTTTGAAACTCATCCCACGTCTCTGAGTCCCTGGACTGCGAATCGTCGTCGGCTGTATCTACTAACAGCATTGTTGGAACATAAACATGTCCCAAACATAGTAGTATTGTACAACTTCCCAGATGCATCTAGAAATTCAATATTAATGAATGAAATTTGTTTAATTTTATAATCGTGCACTCGACAACTTCTGAATTTCTATGCGCGTTAAGAAATAACGTTTTTTTTTTTGTTTGTTAATTATAAAGCATTCTTTTGTTTGATGTATAAGCTAAAATGAACAACGAAAAAAAAAAACTCTATTTGCGCATGTTTTTAGGATAGTTCTGAGCTGTCGTCAACCATGCCTAATAATATGTCTGTGCAAACTAAATAAAAAAATAACCCTTTTTTTCCATCAGACACCAAACGAATAATATTAATATGATGTATTGGATTCTTTCAGACAATTAGTGTGATTATACAAACAATTTGGTTTGCTACATTGTCAGATAATTGATGATACATTTTAAAATAGTTTTTTGTTCTTTCTGAAAAACGCCATTTATTGGAGTTGTCTCGTTGTTGCCCACAGGTCTTCAAATATCCATTGCTCATTTGAAATAGATGTAATTTTTAAATTTTTCTATGTACAAAACCATAGCTCATAATGGCTTTTTTATGGGGGGAGGGGGTTGGACATTTTTGCTTTATATAGTTTTTTTTTTTTTTGGTTTAGTGTAGGTAAACATTTTCAAAAGTCTTCGTCTTCAGGTACAATGTTTTTTTCGATAATGACATATATATCTACCATCACAGATTTTTTTTTTTTGTTAACATATTGTTATAACACATGTTTTTAGATATAACAAATTAAATTATTTTGCGACATTTTTTTTTTTTGTCACGAGCTCAAAGTAAGTGCTTGAACACTATTTACCGTCTTTTCAATTTACTGCGCCGCCACATTTTTATCGAATAAATAATATTATAATAAAAATGTCAATAAAACCATATTTTTGTATGAAAAAAAAAACGTAATAAGCAAAATCGCGATAAATTGTATTGAACTAATTTAAGCTACTAATAAAACATTAATTGCACAGTTGGCTCTTATTGTTGAGATATTGCCTACGCTCGATTTTATAATATGGCTACAAACAAGCATTACAAAGTGTTTATTTGAATTGATATTGGAATAATCGATTAAATATGAATTGTCGAATATTATGTAGAAGTCTCATAAGAATATACAAGATATACATTTCTATGTATTTCTTAGTAACTGAGCAACCTAATCTTTGAGTTGTATTATTAAACGAGTGGCCTTTAACTTTACTATCTCATAATAGTTGTTTGGCGTTATAAAATACACATTACTTCGAAATATAATATTTATTAGTGTGTAAGCGTTTTACAATATTGCAAAAACGTCAATTGACTATTTTTTTAAACGTATTTAAAAATCAAGGTATCATCATTTATCCAAATGTACTTGTGATTCATGTTGATATTTAATATCACTTTGGGTATACAAGTGTTCCACAATCTATAACTTTTTTTTCAAATGTAACAACTTAAATTACAATTATTAAAAAGAAAAACAATCGTACCGAGTACTTACAAATAATAAACGAACACGTATTCACTAAAAAAATATTAAACAAAAAATTGCTAGACTTCTTAACAGCATAATATGTAGTATTATATATATAATATAATACAGTATGACAAATGAATCTCTCATAGAAACGTTTAATGTTATAAAAATGTCCATATTTATCCTATTTTATTCGTACATTAAAGGGAAACATTTGTTTAAAAAATCATGTTTTTCTTAAATTGCTGTAAAAAAAAGGCAGAATAATGAAGTTTCTTAGTTCTGGAGCTTATACAAATGTTTATCAACAGATATTTAAGAAAATTGTATATTATGTTGTAGCCTCACTCTAGATCTACCTCCGGTCTAATTTTTAGAACTTAAGCTCTAAAACAGTACATGTATTGACGTTATGAACTTGTAATTGCTAATCTATTCTAAAACATAACCGATCACATTTATATTTGTTCTAGAAGTAAACATACATTTAATATTGTCAACTAACAATAATTATTATATTAATTTAAATTTAATCTTTTAACTTGTTCATCATTTTAAAAACATAACTTATTTTAAAATATTATCTATATGTGAAATGTGGTAGAGATAATATCACAGTAAAAAGTGATTGATTTAAGAGGTCAATAATTATTGTAGTTTTTAATTATATTATGCCTTGAAATTGTCGGTATATTTTTTATTATCGCAGACAGACACCGTATAAGCAAAGAATAATATACTAAGGATAAGAAAAATATGAATGTTACTTAATACCAAAAGAAATATAAGTTTATTGCAACTTTATGTTTTAAAGCTTACAATAAAACGGTTAATTTATATTTAAAACAAAAATTTATGAATATAAAATCCGTATTGTATAAAAAATGAACACAACAAAAGTATAGTTTAAAATGCTAAAAATAGTCAACACAATTTGAAAATATATAGTTGACAAAATAATATAAAAGTAACCAAACAAAATAAACATAAGGTAATTAAATTTAAAAAAAAAAAGTATGTTCTATCTAATAGGAAAATGAATTAGACAATATTGGTCGACAAAAATGTTGTGTACTTAAACCACCGTTTTGAAAGAAAACGCGATGGCCACTCAAACTTGGCATAAATCTTGAACTAAATAGTCACTTTCTCGAAGGTTTTTCGTATTCATTTGTCTTTGTCAAATGGATCTGTGAATAACATCAATCAGCTATTAAAAAAGAGAGTTTTTTTTTGCTTTAGACCTCATAAACGTTTGACTCTGTTTGTACATAATATGTCATTTAAATAAAAAACTTAGGTATTCTAGTATTATTTTATTCTAGTACCTTATTATACAAATAGTTAAATATAAAAAAAGATTTTTTGGACTATATCGACGTTTATTTGAATTATTTTCTTATAAATATATGCTGAATAAAGGAAACTTAACTAACGCAAATATCTCAATGTTTTCGTTAAAATTTAAAAATCATATATAGTTTTGTACTTTTTTTTTATATATGTGATTCGGTGAAATGATAATAATAAAAAAACACATCGTTCTAAAAAAACAACACCTTCTCAGGTACGCATCTATAGGTAAAAAAAAATGTTTAAATGTCTTAAATAAATAAATATAAATTCGTAAGTATAAGTCAACATAATCTTTTTAATCACGTTTTAATTAATTAAAAAAATCACCGAATTTTATCAGGAGAAAAATTATTTGAGTTGACGTTACAAGTAAAATATTATTATCGCTTAGGTGATTTTGTTTTAAACCGTTGCTAAGTGTGCATAGTATTATTTGTGTATGACGACCTAATAGTATTATTATTATTATTAGGACATTATAATTATTTTTAGCCAATAGAAATAATAAAACTTACTATGATAATATAACTTACGTATGTCATTTGATTGATTATTTTATGCTGTGTTGTATTGGCAAACCAAATTATTGGGCAGCTCACTTTATGTTATTTTATTAATAAAGTTGTTTTTGTATAATTTTGAGAACTCACATAGTCTAATATAATAATAACAACATTGAGACATAATATTATATTTGTTTAACCAAAAAAGAAACAAAAAAAACATAAACGAATAATAGGTAACGGCTGTTATTTTGTAAGGGTTTGAAATTGCTTGAAAATTACAACTATTTGAGCTATTCGTGTATTAGTATTTATTTATTTAACTATTATACAAATTAACTATTAAATACTTTAGAAAAAACATTTTTATTTTCAAATTTAATTCATATTCAATGTTTAAAGTCTGAACCTAAAAGGAATACATAAACGAGATGATTAAAAAAACCGAGGTGGTGTAAGTCACATTTTTGTAAAAGTTGTTAACTCAACTATTATATTAGTATTGTAGTTATGTCTGGAAAAGCCAATTTATCTAAAGGCAAAGTTAAATAAGTCCTAACTCATAACCTCTACCACCAGATGAAACCACAATACAAGAGTTTTTATTATATACTCTTATATACTCTCATACTATTCAACTTAAAAGTGTACAACAGTAAAATTATGATTTTTTCCTTAGTGAAACAAAAAGCTTGACTACAAAATGTTGAGAAAATTGTCTAAAAATGTTTTCACCCTATCTAAGAGAAAAACTTGGAGGTATTTTTTTTTAAATGTTTATTTTTTTAAATTTTATATACAATTATTTTGTGTTTATATAACAGATATAGTCATATACTAAATTTCAAGTCTGAAAACCCATAATAGTCATTCAATCATCCAAGAAGAAGATAGTTTTGCTTAACAGTAAAATAAAGTTTAACAGGCGATTTTAGAACTGTTAAACAACACTTCAACTTCAAGCTGAAGCCATGAAAACGGTCATTAGTTTATTTAAATTAATTACTATTTATTATTATTAATTTTGTTTTTTATTGTTAGTAGGTGAACAGGGTTTTAATAAATATCATTTATACTGTCGCCTTATAAATAAGTGGAATTTTAATACATATTGTAACATACAACTTATCAATTTTAACAAAGAAAAACAAATGTTCTCAATTATTACAACATCTAGTTATAATAATTGGCAGCCTTATAAAAAGGTCTCTACTTCTTGCACTACATCATACTCATTTGGAGACTTTTGCCTTAGGTAAATGCACTTTTCAGTGAATGAATTCACTGGAACCAAATTGTCTTCAATGTTCTTGTTGTATAAATCCCATGCCTGTCTGTCGTGTGAGTAGATAAATATCGATGTGTTCAAAAGAACAGCCGAAGCAAGTATTTCTATTTTAGTTGCCCAATCTAAAAAAAATTGATAACATTTAATGATCTTATCATTGAACATTGAAAATGTTTGGGACAATATTTTTTTTTCAGTACACAAAATATAACAAGTAAAGACTTGTAAAATAATATTTTACTCACCATTGAGTACTATAAAGCTTATGAACTCATTTTCTGTGTACAATCCTTTAAGAGCACGATTAAAAAGAATTTCCTAAAAAATACACTGAAATTAATTTAACCGGCTAGTATAATCTAAAACGGCATTCAATTTGAAAAACCATAATTTGTTACTAAATTAAAGTTTAGTTTTTCTCACTGACGACTTTTGAGATCATATTATTATGCATATGTGATCATTTATTTTACAAATATATATTTATTTTATTACTTTTTAGATTGCTATCATCTTTTAAAAATGTATTTATCTTGAAAATAACCTACTAAATATGTTGACCGGTCGATAACTAGTTTTAAGGGGACTGCTGCGGTTGGTTTTTAAGGAGTTTTGTATAGGCAATATTTAAAAAAAAAGTGGTTTTAATAAATGTTGATCATGTCGATTAATTTACCGGTTAATTTTTAAAAGCATCGTGGTATTATTTTTAATTTAAATAATTTTGTCTATGAGTAAAAGCCATTTTAGTTAATATAGTAGTACATTTTTTGTCCATCGCACAGGCTGAACCAGTGATCCGATAAGTTATCTGAAAACAGATTTGAATCTGTCATGAAGTTAACTTGAGAACGGTCAGGGTACTTTTTTGATGTCTTATTCCTACTATGTATAAAACACGTTTGAATATTATATAAAATTTCTGATTTTAAAATCAAATTTGGAAAAGGTTAAAATTAAAAATTGAAAAAAGTACTCTGACCGATCATAAGTAAACTTCATGGCAAATTCAAATCTGTTTTTAGATTGCTTATCGGATCACTGGTTCGGTCTGTGTAATGGAATACAAATGATGTGTTTTGACTGAAAAACCGACCGCATGCAATCCCCTTAAATAAAGACTTTTGGAGTAATTGACTTTTTAAGTTTTTAAGACAAGGTCTAATATATAAGTCCTACGTGCCTACATGTATTTCATGTGTTTAAAGAATATAGAGTCTCAATTATTAGCTATGCAAATAGATTCTTGTTAAATATTTTTTACAAATGGTTCTAGTTATTTACTTCAGCCACACGGTTTCGGATGAATTGATGGTGTTTCTCTGTGCCGGTCAAACAATAAGAAAGTGCTCTGAAGAAGCAATTTTTGTCTTTTTGTATTTCCACACATTTCTTCGGAGACCTGTTGGTGAGAATTGTTGGTGAAAGGTCATACTGGGATGGCTCTTCGCACGCCAAATTCCATTTATTACACTTGCCGTGTTGCCAAGCTGCGCCGACAGGATTAAAGTATCGGATTGCTTCTTCTCGAATTTTTACAATTTCACTCTCAGGATTCAACATAATAGGGCCTTAATAAAAAACCATATAAAACTTTTCGATTATTAATATAGTTATCGCAATTAGGTAATGTATTGGTTATAATAATAATTATGCTAAGTATTTAGTTGTTTAAATAGACATTAGTACCAGTAGGTACTAAAAAGTGTAGCGCCTAGGTACTACAGCAACTTTAACAACCAATAATATATTCAAATGATAAATTAGGCTTCAGTATTTAGGTACTTATTGTGGTGTTACCTTGGTCTTGATCAGATACCACATCCGCCACTAAATTATAATGGTTTTCTGAAACATGGTGAATATAAATGCACTTCTCCGTTTTCTTCGGTGGGGTTTTGGACTTTATGTTCCGGTCGAATAAGTCCCAAGTCTGTTTATGTTGTGCATAAACATATATCGGTGTATCTAGGAAAAGAGTGGACGCGACGATTTCTACTTCTGTTGCCCAAGCTAAAACACATTTAGTGATGTTTAAAAAAATGTTTTCTATACGAGTAATGTTCACAACAGTTGTACACAGATTTTGCAAAATTAATACACATATTTTGACCTACAGTTTTCTGATAACCTATTTAAGTGTTCTCTATGTTTTTCTTCTCCTAGTAAACCCACAATACGTGGATCCGTCTTTACTATCTGTAAAAATATATATTATTATTTAAAGCGATATACTATACAGAGTGATTTTTTTAAAGTGATCGACTAAATACATTTTTCTTAGTGTTTGTCACAAACTTTTATGTTTTTAACCTTCTTCTAAATTATTTATTTTCTTATCAACTTTAAAAAAAATGGTTAGCATTATTATTTTATTAGCTTCTGAAATAAGAACAATTTTCAGAATATTTTGACTGGTCGATAACCAGTTTTGGAAAATGATTTTTAAGGTTATTAAACTGTATACGTTTAGGTACTATTTAAGTTTCAAAAGTTGATCTACAAATAATTATTTTGAGAGGTGGTAAAAGCAAAAAAGTTTGTCATCTCATTTTATCTTAAGCCACAGTATTATGAGTATTTAAAAGCCTGGTGTGTTAGATAGCTATACTTCTTAATTTTATTTATTCATTTCAATATTCCAGTTATTACTTGTAATACATAATGTCGAATGATATAATAGTATTCCTCCGTGCCGGACATCCAAAAAGACAATACTCTGTAAAAACAATTTCCGTCTGGCTTAACTTCAACCCACCGCAACGGAGAATTGAGGATTTTCACCACTTGATTAAAACGGAAATAATTCACTAGTGGCAATTTCAATTGTCTACACATTGTGTACTGCCAGATTAGATCGACAGGATTAAAATATCTGGGTTCGTCTGATCTACTTGACCCCACAATCACTACTTCATCTTCATCGGGGTCGTTAATTTTGCTTGAACTTCCACGGCAGTAGGTACTTTGGCCTGCTGTGATTTCGGCTTTGTGGCGATGATAAATTTGTTCAAACTCATCGCACATCTTTGAGTCCGTGGACTCTGAACCGTCGTCGGCCGCATTTATTAACAGCGTTGTTGGAATATGAAAATGCCCTAAACACAGTAATAGCATACAACTTTTCAGATACATCTAGAGTTGTAATATTAAACACTGAAATATATGTTCCAGTTTTTATAATGCAGTCGACAGCTTCTAACTTTCTATACGTGATAAAAACGAATGTACGAATTTTTGCGTTCGGTTAGTTTGCCAAAGCTAAAACCAACAAAAAAACACTATTTACACATGTTTTTAAGATTGTACTAAAGCATAGATACGTCGGCATTCGTATGTATGTCTGCCAAAACTGAGAACCCGAAAAATAAATTACTTTTTTCACTGCACGCTAAACGAATTAATCATACAGCTATATTGAATCGTTTTTCTTTTGTTCAAAGTTTCACACTTATTATACTCTGTATGACTGTATGCATGTTATCCCACGCCAGTAAAACACTAGTACAGTATAAACCCGCAGCCGTATACCGTACACCTGTTAAACTAATGCTTTTTAAGTTTTTCAAATCTTATTAATTCGATAATCGATTTAAATGAGTTGATTACAAATGGAAACAGTAAGCTGAAGTACGGTTTTTACGGTACCCGGTCTGATTCAAATACTTGCCCAAAAAGTAACCTAACAACAATCGTACATTGTTAACGATAAGTAAAGGTCCGAATTGGTTTGTAATTGAAGGCTATCAATGAAAACTTATCACAGACACATATTAGTAGAGTTACAGTGTGTATATTAGCTTTAAAATTCACAAAACGCACTCATGATTTTTATCGACCAATACTGACAGTTAAAAATGACAGACTGATTTTCAGCCAAACAAATTCAAAACAAAAAACCAAAGTAGCGTTCAAATTGTGTATTTATCGTGGGGTATGCTTGGCTGGCCATCCAAGCATTGTAAGGGCTGGTCGTGGAGGGATGGTAGGGTAGTTATTAAATTTAGATTATATTTCGAAAATAGTTTGTCTTGAACTCAGTGACTCCATAGACTTCTGTTGTACAATAATTTTTAACTGAATGCCGTTTGCATGTCTTAAATACAACGAATATTACGTACAGTTAAACACATTACAAATGTATTAGTTGCAGTGTTTTGAAATTCTATGTTTTTGACATTATTTTGTATATCCTTTATATTTTTATTCAAACAATTTTGAACGTACATAGAAAAATAGTATTACTTATTAATGATTAATATGTAATAGGTACCAATTAAAATACTGTTTGTTTTTAATAAAGTTTTACTCATAAGTAAGGTTAAATTGCATTTAAATATTATATGTACTTTATTTTAATAGACAGGGTTAATAATAAAAATAAGAGAGCCAGTACAGTGGAGTCAGTGCGTAGTGGGGAAGGAGCGTATTGGCACCATTATTTTAGTTAACTATACATAAGATATTCCACGGTAAATTTTACACTATTTTACTTTTACATTTTGGATTTTGTTAATTTTTTTTTGTCCATATTATGTACCCACGCACAAGAGATTGAATATTAGAGATTTATCTACATAAGTAATTTTCGATCATCGAAAAAATTGGTATACAAACAAGAAAGAGACCAATTTTATATTGTGATCTTGTCTGTGTTACTATACCGCTATTATAGCTCAAGTTACCATAATAATATATACGTATAAATAACCCAAAATCCAAAAGTCAATTCCTAAGGTCATAGTACTTTTATCGACAATTTTGATTTAAGGCCCCTGGATACCGACCATTTTCCAGGAGTTTTGTATAGGCAATATTTAAGAAAAAAATGGTTTACATACAGGGTCTAATCAATGATAAATTTTGTTATCAACGAAAGAACATTAACAACAAAATGAAACTGCATATACATTTTTACACAGTGATAAATGACCCTGTAATTTAACTTGTGATAAAGTACATTTTTAACAACAGATCAAATTTCAAACATGGTTTATGCAACAGAATTTTTTTTTAACTCCAGTTAAACGAGTTTATCTCTGTGTAAGTATTTGGTGCAACCCGGCATTAGTATTCAAATTGAAATAAGATTTTATTTAATGTAATGTATGTTTACTTAAATGATTCAATGTACAAGTAACGACGCGTTGTTTTATTAAATCATTTTTATTTAGGATAATACATAAAATAATATGATCTTTGTTAATTTATTGGTCTAATCATAAATTAATAACTCAGTAATCCCTCCGTATTAATATTAAAAAAAAATATATATGTACTTAGTATTTTGGCATTTTACCCCTCAAGTCGCCCTCTATAACTAACAAGAAAATATATACCCACTATAATGTTTGTAATTAAAAACCAATATTGACTTTATACCGAATATATATTTTTAGTAAAACGTGGAAACCAGCGGTAGATCGATGAAAAAGAAGACCAAATTAGTATGGTATAAATTGTTTGGCAATAGCGCGCATTAGCTATTAAGAAATGTATTTTATGTTTTATATATAATGAATACAATTGTTATCTACATTTTATTTATAAGAGGGTTGGTGCAGAGTTTGATTAATGATTATTTATTATACAGTCTGATGGATCTGATAAAATTACTTTTACAAAGAATAAATAAAATCTTGTAACATGAGAAAAACATACTACCAAGTTCCGGATTATTTCCTGTAAGAAAAAAATGTAATCGTTACTGTAAAAATAGTAAGTACAATGCTAATTTATTAATAATAAGACAATTAATGTATACCACGAATTTTCACACAATTTATCCGGACTGAAATAAATAACAACAAAACAATTTCAACACCAAAATTTAAAAATATATTTGAAACTAAATATAGAAAATATTAAATTAAAAACAAAGATATTGTTGGGGTTGTCTTATTGTAAAATTAAAATACAACATAACACGAAGAATATTTATATATTTTTGATTGTGTAATATTTACCTACACAGTGCTAGTTTATAGTTTGTAAAATTTGTAAAATACTTACATGGATTATAGGCATAGAAAATAGCAATGTCACCTTCCTCTAGTTTCATTACACAATGGCTAGTACCTGTAAAATTAATTGCATAACGCGTCAATAGTTTTAATCTAAAGACTGGCCTTACTACTATGTTTTTCTTATAGTTTATGTTGTTCATAGTTCATATTATAGCATTAAAAACAATTTATAAATAATGCGTTTTACCAAAAAAATACCGACAACAGTAATCTTGTAGCGAAAATTATTTGAACAGTCATCATTATGATACTTAATTTGTACAAAATACTTCGGGTCTTTTGCCTTTTGTCTTATGCCTAAACGATAAAATGTCTTAAGTGAGTTGTCATGTAGATATTTTCGGTTGACGGATTGTTTTACACATATGCCTACCTACAAAAATGCTGAATCTCAAAATGAGTACCAAAAGTACATAATATTCATTCAGGTGTTTAAAATGCACGTTGTAAAATCGATTCAAACTCCGCTTTAAAAGTCATTACATTCTAAGAGGTGCGTACGAGTCATATACAGGGTGATTCAAATGTGGTCAAACACAAAACGCAGAGCACGTACTATCGGGTACACCTAAACTAAACTTAATAAACGTGATTACACATCTTAAGGCTTTCCAGTATTAATAATATTATGATGCTTATGTTAATAGTGATAGGAAAATAATATTTGGAATAATACAAACATAATAAGATCATTGATAATAGTACAATACAATAATTGTGGTTTATTATTTTTGATTACATAAAATACAATAACAATGAATAATAATTAAATGTGTGTAGAATATTGGAATCAAAGTGCATGTTATGATATAATATTGAGTCGTAAAATAATATTATTTTATGATGAGGGGAAAAAATAATGATGTGTAGTAATTGTCAATGATGCGCCATATTTCGTCTGAGTCTGCATTACTATACGTCCCGTCTGGCTTAGCTTTACCTACAAATTGTCTGTAGTCCGGGTGCCTGGTACAAGTGCAAAACATATTAGACAGTTTATATTAAGGTCATTCAAAACTTATTTTAAGGTAGCAAATTGATGGCTTAATCTTATAGCTTAATATGTTCATATTCACTTGCTACATACAACCCCTATTGCTATACACTAGTATTGGTTATAATATTTAAAAAAATATATAAGAACTTACCCCGGTGACATTTTTTCTACCAATTGGCCCACTATAAGTAACAAGAAAATATATGCCGACTATGATGTTTGCAATTAACAATGTTTATTGTACACCTAATATGTAATTGTACACACCAACTAACAACATCTGAATAACTGAATAATATATATATATATATATTAAATATTTTTCATACAATAACAAAATGTATGTGCGGTATAATTAGGTTTAGGTAATTCAAATTACAAGTTAAGCGTGCACACACTTTTTCCCCGTTTTTATTACATAATTATTTTTTAAACCTAGTATTCAAAATAATTTTTTTTAAGAAATTAAAAAAAAAATAACATTTCTTTTAAACCGTTAAATGCTGAATTAGGAAATGTGTTTTTATTGTTATCTAGAATTCAGAAAAAGCAAATATCTTAATAGTTTAACATTTAATAATTAACTATTCATGTCAAAAATAATTTTGTCTTTTTAGAATTGTTTAGAATGTATAAAATAATTGTCCCCAAATTTTATGTTTATTGCTATTGTTGTTTTGTTACATGTTACAAAATATACTCAATTTATAACAGGTACTTTATAACGATTTACATAGGACCGATGAATTAAATTTGTACACGTTGTCTTTTAGTTGAGTTAAAAAAGATAGTTTTTTTGTGTATACAAGTTGCGCACAATCTATAACGTTTTAAAATGTAACGACCTTAAGTTGAAATTACTAAAAAAAAAAAAGTGCCATTCTTACAAATAATAAATGAACACGTTTGCACTATACAAGCAAATACGGTAAAATGACCAACTTAAAGAATAAATAAAATCTTGTAACATGAGAAAAACATACCCCCGAGGTTCCGATTATTTCCTGTGAAAAAAAAAACAAATTAGGTAACTGTTTTTGGAAAGAATAGTAAATACTATATTTATTTTTAAATAATAAGACTAATGTATACCATGAATCTTCACACAATTCATCCGTGCTAAAATTAATAATATAACAAAGTCAGTTTAACGTAAAAATATTTAAGATTACATCAACTTGTTAGCAATAATTTTTGAAACTCAATTTCGAATACATTAAATTAAAAAAATATATATATATTGTTAGTTATATTGTTGTAAAAATAAAATATAGAAGTTCTGTAGGTACGGAACCTTTACGATTTTTGGGTTGTATGATATATTTATATAGTGCTGGGTAATAGTTAATACATTGTATGGTAAAGCAACCAAATAAAACTTGAACGAAGGACCAGTCGAAATGTTTCGACACGAGAAAAAGACTGAAGCCGAAATTGCGTCGTTACGCCTTATCAATTTTGGGTAGGCAACCTAACGCACACTATAACTGTTCGCTGTTCAGATGGCAGACGGGAAAGTTGGATAATAACAACACGGCGATCGACGCGGGTTTCAAAGGAAGGAAGCAGTGTATATTTACAACGGATTGCAGGAAACAGAAATTATATAAGTGGCTTTATATGGCCGGTTCCGTTTGGTGCAACGGCACCAAATTTTATTAATTTCTAATAAGAAACACAATAGATACGAAAGAGAAAAAAAAAGATTGTGATACAAGAAAAAGACCACCGACGATAATGACGACAAAACGGTAATTACAATGAGCAACAACAACAGGTTAGATTATTTTTAATTACAGAGGACGGTCACAACAACATAAACATACATATTATAAAACATTTTTACTTTGTTCGGGGTCAAAAAACACAGCAATGTCACCTTCCTCTAGTTTCATTTCACAATCGCTAGTACCTGTAAAATGAATTGCATAACGCGTCAATAGCTTTAATCGAAAGTCTTACCTTACTACTATGTTAATTCATATTATACAATATTGCAAAATGTATAATTTAATGCCGTTTACCAAAAAATACGGATAGCAGTAAACTTGAAACGAAAAGAACTTGAACGGACATCATCATAACAGCTAATTTGTACAGAGGACTTTGGGTCTAAATGCCTAAACGAGATAAAATGACTTTAGTGAGTTGGCATGTAGATATTTTCAGTTGGCGGATTGTCTTAACACATATATGCCTACCAACAAAACGTGCAAAAATGCTGAGTCTCAAAATAGATAATTAAAGTGCATAAAATTTATTTAGATGTTTATAATGCAAGTTTTTAAATCTATTCAAACGCCGCTTTATAAGTACCAATTTCTTTTGAAATTGAAAAAATTTGACAATGAACACCTAAGTTAGCGTTATATTTCAGGGTCAAAGAAAATCATATCATTGCCACACGGAGAACTATTTAAAATTGTACTTACTTTTTTTTTTATGTTTGATAATCTTAAAGCGAAGAAACTCAAAAATCACTAATACTGTTTATGTTCAGGATGCCTTTTTATAGTTAATTTTACGCACACCCACACGTGCATTTTCTTAAATTGTGTGTCACGTTCATTTTGTGAATTAATGTGTTTACATGGTAAACACAATTGTTGACAAATGGGTTTTTTTTCCCAGACGAACCAATGTTTACCAACATATTATGTTTTCTTAATCGCGGTTAAAACTTTTTATTTTCAAATACAATAAATTAATTGACAACTTTGTTATTAGGAGGTATGCAAAAATATAATAATAACAATAATAGTACTTTAAAAAAATTGGTTCTTGTAATTTCTGACACAAATCATTGTACTTATGAGAAAAGTAACTCCATTGGAGTACCGTCGAGGCTGTATTCCCAAATGCTGTCTTCAATATTATAGTATCTGCTAGCTTTGCCGTTCATATCCAATAGTTCACAAACTCTTGAGTCTCTTTCATCGAGACCAGCAAGTACTATAAATGCATCTGGGTGTTTTATACTTCTCAATAAGCCAATTAAACGACACAAATCACAAAAACGATTGAAGTTTTTATTATTTCCATCTAAAAAAAAAAAGTTATCAAATTTAGTTCAGTTGATATTACATTTCTTTATTTATGAGACACAACTACAAGTGCATAATAAAATGTAAGAAAAATAATGAAATGTACAGGGTGTCCGTGTAGCATAGACATTCTACTCTCAGCAAATAACATTTTATTGCATTAACACGGTCCAACATCATACTGTAAATCATAACAGCTATTATTTATGAAAATTGTAGAAAAATATTAATATACCAAACGAAACGCCATAGTTTGTTTCATAGTTTCTTTTACTACAAACTTTTAAAATAAAACAAAATTAGAAATGTAAGTTTTACATAGTTTAATATATCTTTGTAGTTGATCTTTAAATAATAGTATTTGTTTGTAATGACTAAATATTATTATATGTATACAATTTTACTCGAGTTATAATAGGTAATTGTTAAATAAATAAAGTAGTTCATAATGAATTAAAATTATAACCAAAAGAGTCCAAAAATTATAACAAGACATACCAAAAACTAGGACTAAATTGAAAAGTTTTTACTAAATGTATCTTAAGAATAGACTGTAGTCTTTAACCATGTTGTGTGAGTAGTATATATATACTACTTGTGTGAGCTCTATACTTCCATTGTTTATAAAAATAAACATTTTGTGTTATCGTGACAATAATGAATGTCTATAGATTAATATTATTTTTTGTTTTGTATAATGATTATTATTTAAATATTATCTTTGAGGAAGCTATTTGTTTATAAGATAATATAACTAGTACAGTTAAAATTATTACAATTAGTATATGTTACAATGTATTTGAATATTTACCTAAAACATCACGGATTAATCTTTCAACAGCTTCTAAAGTTATTAATCTTCTACTTTTTCCCAAATCTTTTAGATTAGGGTTTCCAAATTCAACTAAACAAATTAGAAAATCAATAATTAGTTGCTGGTGTTAGAGTTGCATTACATTTTAAAGAACTGTAATGTTGCCAATTATTTGTACAATCTACCATTAGACCTTTGAAAAATAATGATCTCTGGAAAAACTACATTTTTGAGAGCTATTTCGTGCACAACCACCCCACCTCTCAAACAGTGTGCTCAGTTTTACAATTCGCAAAGTGCCTTGGTAACATGGTTTGGAGGAAAAGTAGACTAATCATCGGCCAAACGCAAGGTTACGTTTTTCCCCTCTTTTGTTGAACTTGTACATTAGCAATTTACTAAGGTATACCTATGAGAAATCATAAACGATTGTGATTACCTGTGTTTGTCGGAATTAGATCGGTTACTGTAACCAAAATAGAGAATATTATAACAATTGTATGGTTAAAAAAAATACTTTTACATAAATACTTTTCATACATAACATTCGTGCTATATATAATTGGGTATATAGACAAATAAATCAAAGTAAAATAATGTCAAAACTTTTAGTAGCCATGTTTGAATTAACGTTTATAATTAAATCTTGAACGATTATTGAAACCTTAAGTAAAAAACATATAGGAATATCACTTTGAACTTCTATGGAATATTATTAGTTTTTATTCAGAACTATAATAGGTATTAAAACAATCAGATTTCATAACTGTAAAAAAAAAGTTTAATTTTATATTTACATGAAAAACGCCATATTTTTTCTAGCACAATTTCTTGGTATTCTATCTTCTCTAATATTTAAAACAAAATACATTTTAATGTACATAATTTCATATAATAGAAGTCCATCATAGGGTTACTATGATTATTATCAATTTATATAATAATTTATTCAATATTTATGTATTATATACTTCCATTAAAGCAATCTCACACAAACTATTTATACTTCACAGATTATATTATTTCAAAGCTATATTATACTTCTATTTTACTAGATTGACAATGTACAAAATAAAATGCAACTAAAAAAACCTTTTCATAGATCCTTAAAATGTAAAGGGTGGGATAGTGAAACGGGTTTTACCATTTAAATACATAAGAAAATCGCCGTTTTACTGCCTCATCCTGTATATTAATTTCTTGTTATTTTCTAAAGAAAAATCGATTTTCTTACATTTAAATTAAAATAAATCGTATACTGGTACTGTGATGGAGAAAACAATAAATTTTACCTACATATATTAGTTATTAGTTAAATATTACTAACGTGTATAGCCACTAGCTGTCGGCTGTTGCCTGTTATTTAACAATAACCTTTTATGGAGATTTTAAAAATTGTGTTTTTTTAATAATATCATAGGAGCAGTATCATGATGTTAAATGTTCACGAGATTTGATCTAGTCATAAAATAAAGTATTATCATTTATGACTTAATTATTATTAAAATTTATCTTAATCTGTACATAGTAATAAAATAATGAAATATTTTATACAAAATTAGAGCTACAAGTTGATAAACTAAAAAATTAAAATTAGCACGAAGCAGATTATCTAATATTAGACAATTTAAACAATCAAGCGTGAATCTCTTTAAATGAATAACAGTATAACAATATGCAAAACATAAGTTTTCCTTTAAAAAAATTGTGTAATAAAAAATACATTTTGAGGCGGTATACTGCATAAAAACCAACACTTAATCCGAATCCAAAAAACAACAGTCCTCTTCATAATTTGCAGGTAGTTGGACCTTATATACTCATAATTGACCTTGGGTAAGGTTATATAACGCAGTCTATAAAATAACGACATAACGACAGTGGTTTTGTCGTATCAGAATCATTAAGTGTCTTAATAAGTACACGGATAGGTTTTTTTCCCAATAAATCGAGTGTCTACTACAATCAGTTACACGATTTAGTCGCCTGTGATATCATGTAATAAACACAATATTATGATACCGATCATTGGGCCCTAACCTAATCTAACACGGATAGACGTTACCAACTGATAGTTTTTAGTGTCTGTTCGTTTCTCACATCTGGTACACCGGGTTTTTAGTTAAAAAAAAAAAAAAAAAAATTGAATTTGTGTAAACTTTAAGTCAAAAGTGGTACTTGAGCACAAAACCTAATAGTATCATTCTGCAAAGATATACATAAAATTGTTTTAATGATTTGATCAATTTTTTTTAAAGATTTTAGGTGTTTTTGTTCAAATATACGAAATCTGCGAAAACACAGTTTCCCGGCAATTAAAAAAAAACTTTAGTGCCGAATTTTTTTCCCGTTTAATATGTTATGGGTACATATGAGTTCCAACTACTGGCAAATTTTCAACCCAAAAGTTTTAAAATTACCGCTAAAAACCCCGAAAAACAAAAAAACTTGTACCCCCCCTAGGGGGGTGGGAAATGGGTATAGTTTAAGTTTGACACAACTGACGTGTGCGGGCATACCAAATAATTATTTCTTATACATTTCAACTTGATCTGACTCTTTATCTCAAAATTATAGCCAGTAAAAGTTCTAACTTAAAAACTCGTACGTTTTTTTTTGTTTTTTTCAACTTTCGTCTGTGAAGAATTAAACTTTTTCAACTTTTACTCCTCCAAAGTACCAACTAGATTAAATTTGCGATTTATAGAGTTGCTACTCGAAGGAATTGGTCCAGTATTAAAAAAGTTACAGTCTATACAGATAAAAAAAAAACACACATCAGAGTAAAACCAATACCATCTCGCTTTGCATCGAAGCTAAAAGTAAGTCTTAGTTGCAAAAAGAATATTATACAGGGTTTAAGAAATTATAATACCTGTAGATGGTACAAATATAAAATGTTGCTAAACTCATTGTAAAGGCCACAATGTACTTCAAATTGTATTTTTAGTATTAGGGTTGCTACGGTAGGGTTAGTCGTCTCTTAATGACAATTTGTCGTTGTTATTTCTATGGATATTGGTGATGTAAATATTTGTCTACACTATCTTGACTGTTGAATCATTTATACAAAGAGCAACCAGGAAATGAAAAACATCAAAAATACAATTTTCCTTTTTTTGGTTTTTTTTTACTGAAAAAAATTTGACTAGATTAGATTATTTTGAGAAAAATGTAGATGTTATGTTAAAATTCCCAAATTTAGGTACCATTTCGACTTTTTTTTTAAAAGTAAGGGTATACCTTAGTTTTAAGTGAAATATTATTCACATACTTTTGGGTGTTTCATTGGATTTTGTAGGGAAAATAAGTAAGCTTTTGAAATATTTGGTCCAATAAATTACCTCATAGTTACGATTGCCCATTTTTTTGTTTGTCACCTGAGCAAATGGGTATAGCGGTGTTAAGTGTTCATTTGTATAATAATGTCCTTAAACTTACTTAACTCATTAAAAATGGGCGGAGTGGCGTCCAATAGGTTATCAAAAAAGTAGAAATGCTACCCCGTAGATAAAATTCTTCTCTATCCATTGTGAAAATTTACACCTGTGTACTTGACACATTACCCGGTACTGCAAACATTAAACCTTATTCAACTAAAAATAACATAAA